TTTATTATTTTCCATTGTGTTGTCTACAATTTTAAACATATCACTTTAAATATCAGACATCCAACGAATCATTAGTTGCAATTTATAAAATAAAACTTCTATAAAATCTTAATATTGATGATAGTTCATATGCTCAGTTTTACTATGTTTTCGTTATATTCCTATATTTTCTTTTTTTCTGAGTGAGTATAGTATGTCTGAGAATAATGAAAGGGGAATATAGTTATTTTTTAGTCTTGTCACGCAATAAGCTCTTATAAGAAGACGTAATCTATAAGTGTATTATATGTTATAAGTTATTTCATTATTATGATTTCTACATTTATTCTCTTCTACATCGCGAATGTAAAAAAAACAAAATTTTAATCTTTAAATTTTGTACGTATACACATAAATTAATATATATACATAATAAATAAGTAAGTATATACACATAATAAATAAATTAAAATTAATTATTGATAAATTTGTGTGTAATGATGTTAATTGTTTATTATATTAGATGTTACGACAGTGCTGTCCAAAATAAAAATTAATGATTTAACGTAAAATGTTCCACATAAGATTGCCAGTAGTTACAATGAAACTAACACATAGTCAACGCTACAGCTGTCAACTGACAGACAAGGTCCCAATCAATACTAGGCCATCACTGGCTAAAATGACTGGGCTAGTACCATCAGTATTGAGTCTAAGTCTTATTACCCAATACTTTGTCAGTACTGGGCCAATAGTTTGCCAATATTGCACCAATAACTGAACTGTGGCAACCAGTAATGGCCCAGCATTGAGTCGATTGTAAAATCCTATATATGTCTGTGTGTGTGTGTGTGTGTGTGTGTGTGTAATAAAGAAAAAGTAAAATGTTTCATACACACACGCATAATGAAATTGCTTATAATGATTTTATTTATATATTCAGCATTAACACAATTTTTAAAATTGTTGATAAAATACTTTAATCAATATTTTTTTATTTCTCCAAAAAATATTTAAAACAATTGTTTTATGTGCTAACTTTTCAAGAAGTAATAATAAGAACTCTTGATAAAATTGTATAAATCTAAAGATCATTTTATCGATACTAATAAGATATTAATATTTATTTCTACATTTATTTTAACATTCTTTTTATATGATTTTATAAAAATTAATGAGAACAATAACAATTCCTATTAAGCATGTTACTATACATTTGTTTGATGCAGCAAATTGAAAACAGAATATGACATCTTAAGCAACTGTAAAAAAATTATAAGTATATTAAAAGTTATTAAAAATAATTGCAAAATTTAATAATAATATCGATTTTAAATATCTGATACTGACAGCTACAAATGACTCAAGATTCATCGTGATTATGTACCCGCTGGTAAATTCGATAGGAGTCATTGCGCGCTTCATAATTAATAAGAGATCTTTTTTGTTGCTATTACTAAGCACCAACCATTCTATATCATAAATACTATTTATTAATTGAAGGCTCTACAAATAAAAATGCATATTTTACATAATGTTATAGTGAGAAATGTTATTTTTTCTGATAATCTTAGTTACGTATTTATTTTGCATTTAGCATCACAGATAATTTATTTTAAACAATATTCAGTATATAAATAAGATCAATTTAAATAAAATGTACTTTTAACTTGACTTCGTTTCCAAACCAGCAGTAGATGAAAATCTGCACTAAAATAGCACTCGTATACATTATTAGTGAAATGAAACTAACGTAATCTCTCGCCATAGCTATTCGGTACAAATTCGAGCACACTACCAACATGCTCACAGCAAACTGAATAGCAATTATTTTCGCGAACATATTATTCACTGTATATGCATATCTGCGATTAGATTAAAAATTTTTAATAATACTTTAATATTCTAACAAATATAA